AACGAGCCTCCACAAAATAGTATAAGGGCTTGCAGATTTGAAGACCTTACACAAGAGACTGCACTGTGGAGTTTTTGCAATGCTTGGTCACTGAAAGAGCCCACTGGCTGATTCCTTTGCCCTGGTTATGGGGAATACCACGAAAAGGGCTTCTCTAGTGCCCTGGTTCCTGCAGTGCCCTGGAAACAGGAACAAGCAGATGCAGGGGGCAGGTAGAGGCTGTTGTCTTGCAGGCCTCTCGCCTGGCTGACGGGATGCCTGGCGCAGGACACGGTGTTGCCAGCTTGAGTCAAGTAGAGAGCTCGCAGAGCAAGGCAGACTCAGTGCCATGGATGCAGATGTACCCTACTAACAGAAGCACAGGAGAGGTATTCATTTGATTTCTCTTTCCCCCTGCAGTTACAGGGAATAGGAGTTTACCATGTGACAGAAATTGAACAACAGTTGCGGTGGCGTTTATTGTCAGACAATGTCAGCACAGTTTCTTTGGCTTCAGTGGAGTAACCACAGCTGACACAAATTGACATACTAAGTCAAAATTTAATGTTTAGGAATGCTCAGAAGCCAGAAGAATTAGAGTCAACATGATGAACCTGGATAGGGAAGGATCGTAAATATATTATCCTGTCTTCATGAAAATCCTGAAGTTAAAAATTAACTCGTAAAATGAAACAGCAAGAGGAAGCAGCTGAGAAGAGAGCTAACAGAGAGAGAGAGAGAGAGAGAGAGAGAGAAAGAAATTTAAATATCCAAGAGTGGAAAGGAGCAATATGTAACTATTATACCTCAAGAAAAAGCAGAACCAATTCAAATTCTTCTGAACTAACTCAATATTGGTACGTGGATGTTTGTTATTGCTTTGCACTCTGCTTCATTACAGGGAATAACAAAAGAGGTAGATCTGGCATGAGAACATCGCACTCGGATGGCAGTTCTATACAGCTGCCACTGGCAGCAGTTTTTGATCACTGGCAAGGTAGGCAAAATTCAGGAGTCACCTGAAAGGGAAGGATGTTACGCTTTTCCTATGATACCTGCTTTCTTTGATTTGTTTGCATGGCTCTGTTCACAGAAAAAACAAAGAAATCCAAAAGACTGTGTGACTATAGTAAAAAGAAGCTTCAAACAAAATACAGACAGCCTACTTTAGAGTTGTCTGGATTTCACTTTAAGTTATGCTGGTAGAGAATACAGCACAGGAGCAATTTAAAATTGCCAGAGTAAAAGAAAACTGAGTTGGAATTGTTTTGATTCAGGTGCAGAAGAACTCTGGGACTTTGGTCACAGGACAACTAAGGGTATTAATATCTACTCCCTGCTCATCACAGATTTACTAAAGCAACTAGAGTTACCATCTCTATTGCACCAGTGAAAGAGACAGAATATTTCTGGCTCACAGGCAAGACTAAAGTTAATGTTTATAAACTGCCAGAATAATCAAGACTTCTATATTAAATATCAAAATTAATACATAACTTTTTAAAAAATAGGTTAAAAAAAAAACTTCTGTGATAAAGGCCAAGCTTTTACCTAGCTATATTGTATAGAAAATCCTTTGGACAAAAAAAAAAAAAAAAAAAGTATGGGTAATCCATTTAATTATTTCCATAATTTATGAATTTAAGTTTTCTTATTACTTTCTGTCCTCCAAAATATAAGTGGAATTGTGTACCTCTTCTTAAAGAAGCAAAAATCCCCAAAGTTTCTGTGACTGAACAAGCAGTGGCCAAATAAAAGGCTTGTTTGTGACTGGGAGCAGAGGTGTGGAAAAATAAAATCAATAAGATAAAGCAGGCTACTATAGAAGGCATGCATTGAAGAAGGATTTATTTCCTCTTCTCCTGGTTCTCAAAGGCAAGCAAAGGAGAAGAGAAATTTTTGGGGAAGGTGGAAGGAGTTAACTTATAAATGCACTTGGCAAGACTTTTTCAAAAATACTGGAAAGGAAGCAAGGAATTGTTGCGGGGCAGGGGAGGAAGAGCTTAAGAGAATCCAGGCTGTCATAACTGATATAAGGCAAAAAAAAAAAAAGAAATATGACCAATCTGTGATAGTATGATACGAGCCCTCAAAAGCAAGAACAGAAAGCTGAAACAATTCATAGTGCATCAACAGAGGATGTTAAAAAGGAGATGTTAAAAAGGCATCTAAATCAAAGGTAAATGTTGTAAATCCAAATTTTAGGTTATTATATTTGGTAACTAAACTCAGAGCACATAAGAGAGAAGACTAAAAAATAATCTAATGCAGTATCACAATTTTTTTTTCTTACAGTTGCATTCACATATAGGTAATAGAATAATTAGCAGCTTGCTGGCATTGAGATAAATTTTGACATTAATTTTTGCTGTGGACTAGTTCTTAGGTCACACTTTTCCTGTTAGGAGGAGGAAGTCGTGTAGCATGAAAATAGAAAACAACTAATTCGCACTATATTTAGATAGTCATTTTTATGGTGTCAGAAATAATCTTTTCATTCTCTAATTTCATAATGCCCATAGCATAAAGGTCCAGGAGCTAATGAATCTAGATGCAAAAGTTACTACGATCAGCCCACATACCAGGAGGCTGGCAAGTATAAGCGCTCTTACTTCATAATTTAATAGCTGAGAGATACTTTGTGGAATAACCCTTACTCGTATTTCATACACAACACAAAACCAATATAGAGACACAGGGGATAAGTTTTTTAAGCAAAATTTTGTAATAAAAATACTTGAAGGTTTGTAAGGTTCTTTTATTTGCATAAGGCTTATTGTGCTATAAAGTGTATTATTTTTAAAATTCAGCAATTCACTGAAATTTATTTTTTCTTAATGTCTCTGTGAAAGCATGAAACTGCACAGACCATGACAGGTAGCAAATTGTGGAGTTTCGCACTTCTGTAAGTATTTTCTTTAACACAGTTGCATATTGGTGATTAACGAGTTCTAGAAATCACACATATGAAAATAAAAATCTGACTCTTTAATTTGTACAATTAACAATAAAAACTACAATATTGGTTTGTCTATAAAATGTATTTGTAAAGTACCAAACACCTATAAGACAAAACAAACCTTTCTGTAGTTAAAATATATCAAAACCCTGCTCCATTAATGTATACTCTATTAACTCAGTCTTGTATACATTGGAGAATAACTTATAAGGCAAATAATTCTGAACACAGAATAGCTCTGAAGAGAGAACATTCAGACAAAACTGGATTATACAAACAGTTCTGCAACCTTCATGCTACATTTTAATCCCAATCAGACACGCTGGGAGTGACTTCTTGCCTATTTATATAAAACCTGTACAAAATGAGTTTTTTACTTTCTACACGTATGGTAGCTTTTATATACTTTGGCTCCCACAAAGTTCAATAAAGTTTAGCAACAGACAGTTTACGCATGGCAACACTGACACTGAAGAACTATCCAAAGTGATGCTCAAATGCTAACATCAAGTCAGTGAACATGGTCTCAAAGTTTCATAATTAGTTTCTTTCCACAGTTTCAAGTCTGCCTTCTTTTAAGCACTGTATTTAACTTAACCTCACTGGAAACAGCCATGTAAGTTAAGGGAAAGGAATGAAAAGAACAGAAGAACTGATAAAAATGCTGGAAGAAAAGAAACACACGCCAAAACCTTCGACTTGGTCCAAATCCGCTCCAGCATCAAATCTGGAATGTTCACCTTTTTCATCCTTTATCACTAAACTTTGGTCTGCCATGGTCCACTATTATCCATTCTAGTGTTGCAGCCATCCTCCTCTTTCAAGGTGTATCGATTTGTCCCATTGACACCTCACTCTTGTCCTTAACACAAGCAGCCAGCCCAGCAGCTGGGAATTTAGGGAATAAATTCCCATACTCACAATGAAACTTCATGACTCATCAACAACAGGTGTGTTTTTATTGCATTTCTATGGACTGAGGGGCTATGCTGACATACAAAGAGTCGTCCGAGTGCTGCAGCACGGGCAGTTCTGCTAGTGCCGCTCTCCACTCGTCTGTCCCTTCATGCTAATACAGCTACATTACTCTATATCCTACCATGGCATCTGCTACTAAGTCAGCAGCAAAACTTAAGGCATGTTCTGTGCTTTGATTAAAAGCTCCTTAGAGCAGGAATTGTCTTCCTAAATAACTGAAGAACCACTTTGCATTTCTTTGACATTTTCATAAGCAGTGTTTTGGCAGAAGGCAGTAAATCCTGGGACATTCTTCAATTCTTTGTACATTCTTCCTGTACAAATTTATTACCAAGTTTAGATTTGTCCAAGTTGAAAAAGTCAACCGTTTTGTATGAATAACACAAACCAAGACGCAGTTGGGGGATATACCCAAAGAACATGCCTACATGGGAACAGTGAACAGTAAGGTAATTGGTATTATTAAATATATAAAATGAAAAAAAAAGGTAAAGCGGTTCAAAAGTGAGTTAAATTTGAAAGGGAGATAAACTGACTGTACAGCTGGAATCCTGGAATCTTCCTAAATTCGAAATGAAAGAGAAAGGGAAGTAGCACATTGTCTTTTCTTGCCATTAAATAAAGAAAATGCTAATCTGTACCCTAATCCTCTTAAAGGAAGCAGACAAATATTGACACAATATGTATAGCAGATGCTGTTATCCTTTAGCATTGAAAGGAAAGGGCTTTCACTTGAGGATCCTCATTTAAAGGATCCTCCTCATTGTCTATTTACACCATAGCAAGAGACAGCCACAGATGACAAAAACATTAGTAATTCACCACAGAATAAGCAGATTATAGCTTCTTATATCACTATTTCAGTCAAGACTTCTTCCGTTCTGTGTTCTCAGTTAGTGGAAGCCTAAAAAACCCCGATTTTTTTATGCATATAAGTATAGATGTTTACTGTATCAAATCAATCTCATTTTTATTACTTGCAAGTAATAATTGCAAAGAATAAGACACCTTGACATTTCAACAGAAAAAAATCATTTATAACTATAAATACTACTTTCTGTGATGATATGATCAAGAGCTTTTAAAAAACCCAGCATTTTTATTTAAAATAGGAATGACCACATACAATACTCTATATCTTCCAGCATCAAAATTTGGTCAGTCAGTTGCTGATTAGGTTCCATTAAATGTTAATACAGTATTACATGTAAATAATGCCACCCAAACAACTAATAAAGACCAAGAACCACTAATCTCAGACCGGCCACACGGCCAGTGTTATTGAAATGCCCACATTACACTTCTGCGGTGTCTCACGTGGATGCAGCTTCTCAGCAGTGTGCCGCAGCTGCTGTCCTTCATCGCTCAGAAAGGCCCTCTGACAGCGGCCTGTAACACCTCTGAGGACGAATTCAAGTGCTCTGAAGAAAAGGTTCACAACAAGGTGCATTACTAGCCATCTGCTAGCAGACAGTATGCCTTCAGCTCCTTTGGTTTTAATAATGTTCCCTTTGGGAAGTGAATCAGTTGAAGACTGCTCCAAGAAAACAGTAAATCATACTTAGACACGGCATGTCTATACGGTTTGTGACAACGTCCTTGTTTTTTTTTCTTCCACACTTTTTTTCCAAAAACTATGCAGTGAAGGCAGTTTGATTTTATCCATATTCTTACTGTAAACATTAAGAAATATACCAAGGACAACCAGTAAGCCAGACCACACATACCTAAAGGAGACAGAGAGGAGAGAGAGAGAGAGAGAGAGAGAAAAAAAAAGAAAAGGTTACACTTTCATTTGTAGTGATTATATACCGGTATTTGTGAAGTAAATAAAAACAAAGTCTCTGTCTTGTTTTAGAGAGATGCAAGAGCAGAGATCTGGTATCTCTAGCACAGATCATAGAAAGCAAGTGTTTTAGGTACGAAAAGATGAATCAGTGGACTAAGGGCAAGTCTGAATTTTTGTTGTTATTGTCCTTCCAACTTTCCTTGCTGGCTGGACAGTTAAGAAGCATGTAAATAATAATTAAACAGTAATTTGTCTTTCTTATATGAATAAAGTAGCCCCAAGGAGTTTTAAATTGTACTTCCTTCCTACATTTAGGAGAGTTACACTTTCTGCTACTGCTACAAACCATGATTCCCATTTAGTGTCCGTACTTTACAATGTAAACATCTTTTTGTTTTAACTCTATTATTTTCAGCCTCTGCATGTTCAGCAGTAGTAAAATACATTTGGGCATTTGGCTGTAAGCCTTGTTCTTAAGTCTGAAACACATTTATACACAGCAATACAATTATATAGTATTTTCTTTCAAACCAGAAGTAATGAGGATAACTTGGTTGCATTTTATGCACTTCGCTGAAACAAAATAAGCAAAAGCAAAGCAAAAAACCTCAAGCCACAAAAACTTGCATCTTAATGCATCATGATAACAGAAGATCCCTATTTTTCAGAAGGTCTAGCTAAGAATTCAAACCTGAGCTCATAAACGGCAAGATTATCCTACAATGGAGAAAATACCTTCCTTTAGCCTAATATTCCTTCATAGAGAAACACTGAAATGATTTATTAACTATTATAAGCATTAAATGCTACATCAGATTGTTCTTTTTAAGAACAACAAAGTCAACATAGTAGTTTATATTCCAGGCCTTTAGAAAACAAACTGTTTTCTCTGGCATGATTAGCATCAACAAGCCAGTCAATATTTACAATAGACTGCCAACATTTCCTGAAGATGTGAAATGAAAATCATTAAAGCCCAAATATAATTAATTACTGTTGTTATATCTGTACAATAAAGAATCAATTTTTTATAAAATATTGGAAAACCCATTAAAAAATTATAGATACTTACTGGAAAGTGAATGGCTTTGCGAAGAACAAAAAAGAAAGCACAATGGTCATTGCTTTTCTTCCTGTTGTTACTGCAGAGAAAAAGAAAAGTCCTTCAAGACTCTGGTTAAAGCGTGAATGGAAGACAGTTTTCAATATTAGTATATTTCCTAACTACATAATTAAGGTATCTGACTCTACCGATTATCGTCCATGGTGCAAACAGGTTGTAGATGCACTGGCTCAGTGAAAAATAGAACTAGAACCACTCCTGTTTGAAAGGAGCACAACACATCAGCAGTATCTGCTCCAGCAGCAGAGAAACGTGCAAAACAAGACTTTCTATTCAATAACTTTATTCTAGTCAATTCATAGTATCTGAAAGTGATGAACAATCCTTGCAAATAACTGCCTACATGCACTGAAAAGTAATAGCCTGTTAAAGCATAAGGAAGCCGTACCAAGCTGAATAGGATTTGGATATACCAAACCTCTTACTATTTCCACCTCATCTGATTACAATCCAGTGACACAGAAAGCTAGTTTTGGCTGTATTTTGAGGTGGAGAAAAAAAAATAACATCTCGTAATTCTTCTGAAGCTACTGAAATCTTTACCTAGCAATATGACTTCAACTTTGTCTAGAAGCCAAATGACCAAGGATGTCAAACTGCAACAATTATAACATGTTGTCATAAAAACCTTAAAAGAAAGCCTCCAAGTGACCTCATCACTGAAAAGAATCAAGGTGGCAACAGGAGTGGAGGACACAATCCCATTAGCCAGTGGGAATGAAGTACCTGTTTGGTTTACTCTCAAATGAGAGCATTTGGATTCAACATTGTTATTCCCCAGTGACAACAACAACAAAACCACTTAAACATGGCATGTTTAAAATTATATGAAAACATTAAAAATATAATAATGCAGCTAGGCCTAAAAACTCAGTTATAGAGATCTGGGGCTTGAGAAGGTGTTAGGCAATAGAGCAGGCTTCTCACTTAAGACGGACCCTAACATAAGTGTCTCCACAAGAAAACTATGCTCTTTGTTAACAGAAAATGTTTAGCTCACCATGAAGTGCTATTTAGTATACCAGAAGAAAAGCTTAGCTTATATCATTACATCCACCACACTAGTATAATGGTAACATAGTGACAAAAGGAAGCAATGACTAAGGACCTAAGTACTCCCAGGCTATTTTCACTACTAAGGTGAGATGCATTCAGTACCATCTTACCCTCATAAAAGTATTTCTTAAAGCATGTTCAGCATTGGAAGAAACATCTTGCACCATTGCTTAATCTGCAGCAATCTCAACTTTTTTTTTTGTTAATAATTTTCTCTACATTTTAAGAAATTTATGCCCATCAAATAAAATGATTTTCTATTACATGAAAAATTAAAGGAGAATGAAAAAGAAAATTGAGTTTTAATTAGAAAACAGTTTACAGATGAATAATTTAAAAAATGGTTAAATTACTTCAGTTTTTCTAATTACGAGTATTTCTGTTCTTTCAAATCAGTTATTAATTAAAATATTTATGTAACCATTTCCTTCTAAATTAAGTGCCTTTTCTTCTTTTTCCCAATTAAGTCTGATAATTTCTCATTCTGCTAATAGAAATACGATTTTCATTAAACTCCTTCACCCCACTATCCCAGTAAGGGGGAGAGTAGATGGTGGGGGGAAAGACAGTAATGAATGTGGTGTTCTTCCAAGGCATGATAAACATTTTCACATTGCTACAGGCAAGATGGAAAGGGCTTGCATGTTAGGATTGCCAAGGTCGGGCACGAGAAAACCTGGGAAGGGTTTACTATTTCACAGTGTTTTCAACAGTTTTAGGACAGCAAAATTTGTTTTAAGAGCTAATACCTGCACCAATACTCTCATCTGGGCTAGTTTCCAGCCAGTTCATGTACTGAACTTTGTTAAGAACAAACATCAAACAAAAGTGCTACAGCAGCAACAATTCACGGGTAATCAGAGCATGCAATTTTTAGGTCAGAATGCAAGTGTCCATTTTCCTCTCCACTAATGCGAATGAAGTAGAGCATTACCTGACAGAAACCAGCTTTTGGGGGCAGAGGGAGGAGAGGGAAGCACTTCCATGGCATCTTGCTATACCTCCCCCCCCAGTCCCTTGTGACTGATGTTTGTAGTTATAAGAAAAGGTAACCTGAGGAAGGAATGAGCCTGATGTAACTGTTCTTGACAGACTACTATAATGAGTAAAAAACGATAGGAGAGCCTACAAAGGCAATATCTAAATCTTGAAAAATGCATACAAATGACATTTTAAGCTTGGAAACAAAATTGTTATTCCAGAGAAAGTTGTTATGTTCTGTAACAATTGCATATAGCAAAGGAAAACAATTTTGGGAACAGACTGAAAGTGTATAAAAAGGTGCTGAAAAACAATTGTCTTGCACTTTCTTTAGGGTTGCTAGGCACATCAGAAATATTAACATTAGCTGCTATCAAATTTAACTAGAGTCAATTTTCCTTATTCTAATTCAAAGTCAAGGATATTCTGATATGGAAACACTTTGGATGGTTGACTGTTATGAACTCAAAATGACATGGATTAAAAGCATTCACTTGTAATACAATTATGTAACTTTTACCTAGCTAGTTTAGAGACACTCAGGTAGCATCGTGTATTTAAAATATTTCATGGACTCACGAATACAGATGCAAGCCACAGTAAGCTAGCACAGCAACTTGTGAATCATAACTTTTGCCATACTTCTCTTGCAAGCATTTCCTTTGGTTTCATCATACTCTATACTGCTCCTTCCACTAGCAATCTCAGGCAGACAAACTGTCAATAGACTCAACATATTTCTTTGAAATCATACAGTTATTCCACACAAAATAGGTTTAAATACTTAGTTTTCAATGCACACAGCAGCCAACACACTGTTTAAAGCCCATGCATAAAGAGATGACATCACTTGCCAGCATGGTGCCTGAACTCGCTGCACTCAAGCAGCTTCCCCATTCAGAGAGAGCCAACCAAGCTCCACTATTGAGAATTCAATTTCTCACCATGACTTTTTCAAATGACTGGTTACTCAGTATGAAGAGTTATGTCCAGCTGCACAGGGGATAAGGGTTAAGGGTGAAAAATAAAGACTGGAACTCTATAAAAGCTTGTGACTCTCTTGCTGCAAGTCCTCTTTTTTCCCCTCATCAATCTAGAGATATCGGCATGCCATTGTGGAGAGGTCCGACTTGCATTTATTGCAGAAAATGATCACACTGTCAGGCAAGAACCCCACATTACAGAAACTCTTCACTTGCACACAAACTGTCACAAGAGCAGACATGATGGCATTTGGTGGCCTTCTTAACCTGGAGAGGATTTCAGTAACTTCTGACATACTTTTAGGGGGTTATACCATTCCACATTCATGTTGGACTAACCAGCAGGGGCACCTGTGACAGACCCAAACTTTTCAACAGACCGAACACGGTTCTGTACATTTGCTTCTTCTGACCTGGGGGGTGCAGGCACACGCTGCAGCGAGCATCCAGCCAAAAACGATGCAAGACCTGCTTCCATTCTGCAGGACACAATGCAGGGCATTTGCGTTGAAAGGGCAGAACAAATGAAAGGCTGATTATGTCTTTAGCAGAAGGTTTACACGCACCGAGTGTCAGAACAAGCTGCAAGCCAGCAGCTGTTAAACAGTCCACCAGGAGCTTGCTTATATTAAGCCCTGACTTCTAAAACCAATTCACACTCATTATTTCCTTCAGTTTCACTCAAACAACTGAGACTGTCATGAAAGCCACATTTAAGGCACACAAGTTTATTCTGAACTAAATCTGAAACGTGCCTTCAACACTGCAACAGAAACATTCCACTTCAAGCATCTGGACATTCAGAAGCTTCAGATGAGTTCTTCATAGTTGTTCTAGCAATGGCATTTGCTGAAAATTTCCACAAATGGGATGTTTAGAGGCTATGACACTGCCTACCGTTGCCTCAATGGCATATGTATATGTTTCAGATAATATCTGTCCTTGTCTTATACTTTGCTGTACATTTCCACTGCATACCTTCTGTTCACAGCAGTACTCTTTCTGCATTAAAATACGGTGTAGGCTATGGGCACAAGGTTACTTAACAGGCTTCTCAAGGTTGAAGCAGTGGCATAGAAAGAACCAGGAAGCGCTCAATCACACAGCACAAGAGAAGATCGCTGCTATAGAAATCAAGACCAGACAGCACAAAGAAAAAAAGGGGCCAGAATGAGAATAACCCTTAGAATCTCTGTCCTAAATAGTAAGATAAGATTACTTCATATTTTTATATGAAAAGCAGTAAAGGTATCATTTGTTCCTACCTGTTACAGCCAGAAGGGCACCAAAGATTTTAATCAAAGCTAGAACAAAAGATATTCCAAAGTATCCAGTCAAGGAGAAAAAGAATGCATAACCATAAGTCTGAACTGGATGCTGCAACAACAACAACAAACTGTTAGGAAAAGGCAAAACAAACCCTGAGGTATTGCAAATGACAAAATGACACAGAGCTACAGACTTTAATCAACTGTGTGAGCAATAATAAGCTGTTCAACAATGCATTCATGCAAAGATCCTTATTTAATTTTAGTTAAATAATGTAAAACAATAATTAAATTATAATCTCAAAAGTCTGGTTTTCTGGTTTTATTTTGTTTTTAAAACATTACCTTACTTTGTACAACAAAGACTGCATCTGGTTAATGTATGAATTACACAAGTCAACTGGTTTACACGAAGGAAACCAACAGAGAAGTGGTGAGATTTTCAAAATTATACAGAGCAATGTTTCCCAATGAAGCTGTTAAAATGAAAAAAGGAAATCTTTACACCTACCTTTGAGCAAAATGCTACTGCAGGGCTTAATCCACTGGTGCATATTAATCCCAATAAAATATACACAAAACCTATTGAATAGGAATACAAAACCTGGAATAGTTTAAGAGAAAATAATTACCCGCTGACACTATACAAAAATAGAAATTAAGTGATTTCAAATACGTGGCCCTATTAACATATTCAATTTGCCTGAGTTGAATTTGTAGCATTTAAAGATATTTTCGCTCCCATTTCTGTAACAGTTGATGAACAGTGGAAAGGGAATAACTCTTCCTGTGCACAACAGGACAGATTTGTTAGGCTTGTCAGTTAACAACACCCTGAAGTTAAAGTTGATTGCCATAAATTCTTCAAACTAAGGATTTCACCAATTAAAATTTAACACAGCTATATAGCTAAATAGCCTGAATAATATGTAAAACATTTTCAAACTTTTCCTACTCAAGCACTCAACCATCATGACATGTCAGGTGAAGTGTGACCTGTGCTACTTCTGCTCGTGAACACTGTGCACCTGCTAATGTTGTAGGATATAAAATCCTCACACAGGGCAACCTCTGGCCTAATTTGGCCTTCAAAAGAGAATATACCTGACAAACGGATAAGCTTTTAATTCTGTTTCAAATCTCATTTAATACACAGCTTCAAACTGGCAAAAACATCTTCATCCTTCCCTTTTCCATGTAAGGACAGGAGTTCACGCTGGAACTGCCTGTCTCTGCGCAGGCACAGAGGGAAGCGTTCAGCAACCAGTTCTCATGAAAAAAGGGGACAGAGGGGACAGAGCACAGGACGATCCTACAGGTGCCCACCCCCTAGAACACAGTTTTAAAGCACTTGGTGCCATTTTTTTTCCTCCCCTCCAACTCACTGTAGCATCTCAATGGTTTGCAAAAATGAATCTATTAACAATCTACCAACAATTGATTAACTATGTCAAGAGAAGACAGTATGTATTTTTTCCCAGCTTTACAGTAAATGGCTATTTCAAAAGCAAAATTGTTTTCAACATCTAACTTTAAAAACCAATGACCTGATTTTCAGAGCACTTAATTTACACATTGTTTATATGTAGAGGAGTTAGCCCTCAGTTCTCCACTTGCCTTTCCCGGCATCCAGCTTTTCTTCCAAACTATCCCAAAGATCTCACTTCACACAGTGAGCAACACATAGATAGTTGTCAGGAAGTGTGATATAAATCACTTGCTTAGAATCACACAAAGGAAAAAATCAGGTGTAATTTTCCAGAGCATTGTTTAGTGTTTTAGTTACAGGATATCTTCTCTTTTCAAAATTGCTTAACGCCGGGCTAGTTTCAAATTCTGCAATGAATCAGAGATCTTATCGATGACAGGTTGCCTTACTACTCAATCATATTTCTCCGTCGAGACTATTAATGGAATATGATCAATTTTAATAAAATCCACTGATAAAAATGATGCTAACAACCTCAACAGCCGCTAGTTACTCTGATACTGTCTATTAAAAAACTGTATTAACACCATTAAGAAAATAATTCCCTTCACAAACAATTCTCAGGGTCATATTTAACACATATTAATGAAAATGTGCATTGATTTTTAAATGAGACCATGTTCATAACTGAATATTGATATTCCCGACTCTTACTCTAAATTCAATTTATCTTTTAATCTCATTAGTCTAAGATATTTGTTACTGCAATTCTACACATTCCCTTGCTTTTGAAATTTTACTATACTCAATGTTTTTCTCCCTTTTATCCTTGTTATGAAGCAACAAGGCAGAAAGTCATGAAAAGAAAAAGAAATTATGTAAACTTTATTGATCATTGATTTACTGATCTATTTATTTAAATAGAATTTGAAATTCCATACTTTTCTCTATTACTGCACAGCTCATTTCACAAGCTCTATTTTCTTAAACAACTTCTAATGGCGTTAATCCAAATGCCTTTGCTCTGTACTAAGAGGCAACCACTGAACTTTGAGGAGGTTAAGTTTCAACAGGGTTGAGAACTATCATATGAGCTCAGACTCTTCAGTCACATCTGCTGTTCCTTTTATGTTAAATTCCATTCTTTTTCATCATTAATACTGACGTTAATGTTTCTTTTTGAGATTTTTTTTTAGTCTCAACGTTAATGCCAGTTAGACCCATCAAAACTCTGACAGGGTTTTCAGCAGTTTCAAACAATGCAAGTTAGATCTATATTTGGTTGCCTGTACTGTTCTGGACAATAATGCCTTTGTAATATCCACACATCGCTCTTCATGTAGCTCTGTCAGTGCATTTTGAATAGCACTACTTACTCCCATTTTCCCTTACAATAATAAAATCAAAAGTCGTGTTAGCAGAACATGATACTGCAATTATATCCTGTTCTCTTCAAAAACTAACTCACGTTTAGTACTGGTAAGTATTTACGTCAGATTTTCAAAGATATTTTAGATGGCTAAAGACAGGCAGGTAGTTAGTGAGGCTTCCTGAAGCACTAATCACCAATTACCAATGGCATCAGTGGAAGTTAGAAGACTTGAATATTCAAGAAGTGCTCAACTATCTAAAAATCAGGCCCTAAACTGCAATTTGATTATGCAAAGCAACTGATGAGAAAGTTAAATGTGATGTCTGACTCAGAAGGCAAAAAAAATTTTCACCTACAAAAAGCGATTTTTGTAGGTCTACAAAAGCGATTTCTGAAATTCTGCTAGTATTACTCCACCAAATTCTTTGAAGACAATATAAGACAAACAAAATCTGTATTTCCTTAACCACTACACTGATTCTCTATAAACTGTATGAATATACAAAGTCAACACATCATCTGGCAGCCTAACATGAAATAAAAGGTCTTCTTTTTATATTCAGCTCTTTATAACAGAAGCATCACAAGGAAGATACCAATTACCAAACGAACACTGTCAGGAGGCAAATGGCAAGAAAGCAGTTACAGACTGTACTTGGTTTTGGACCTCTGACATTATGGCTATGGCATTATGGCTGCATGTCTGGCAGCAGTTAACTGTGGATACTGAGGAAAAAAGAAAGGAACTCAAACAAGAATAAAGTAGTATTTTTCAGGCATATCCCACCTTCCAGAAACTTGCAGCTCAAAGTTCTTAAGCCATCCTAATGAATATAAGGTATAATCCAAGCCTCCTCCTAATTATTTTTATCTCCATTAAGAAGCTATATTACTTGAATTTTTCATAAACAAGAGACTGGGTTTTCTAGTCATATCCAACAAGCTAAATATCAAACGCGTCAAGTGCTTGACTAAATATCAAGAATTATTTGCATTTTTGGCAGTTAAAAATGTATACTGGAATAAAAGTTTTGTTTACTTTAGAGAAAAAGATGTGAAATGCAGACCAAGTTTGCCAAAAGAGGAAAAAAAAAAAAAAAAGATGTCAGAATGCATGTTCTGTACTAATATGAAAAAAATGAACAAGACTTTTTCAAAGCTATGTATTTTGCTGAATCAAGAACAGACTTATCTATATCAAAAGAACAACATATATTTTTAGTAAATTTTAAGTGCCTGACCACACAGAAACCATTCCACTGATTTTGATTGATTTTGGGGTTGCTTGGCAGACTCTTCCCTTTCCATATAAAAGAAAATATTGCTAGAAAATAAATTCTTTTGTAGCTACAATATACATTTGAAACAGTATACAGAAAGTAGAACCCCTGAAAGGTAACGAGTGAATACACAAAAAACTATTATTTACGCAAGCAAAAGAAAAGCAGATTAATTAATGCCTTGTCATTGCCTGACCCATGTCTGATGAAATAAGCACTTAAAATTGCAAAGCATTTCAATTTCATATTAATTCAGGTCTTCATATCTCCCCCCGCCTCCTGCGGACAGCTCATCACTTTGAATACTTAAGTACTCCCAGAGTCTGTGTGATAGAGCACTAAATTAGAATCTGGTATTTACCATTTCTGAATTAGAACCATTGTGCAACTTCATAGCTTTTTCCTGCACATTTCCTATAACTGCATCTGCGCAGAGGGCAAGTGATATTAGGACCACACCTAACATAAAAAGCAAGAAACAACAACAAAAATGTATTCAGAATATTTATCAACAAAACAGAATAGTGATGAAAACCACTCTGTGTTCTGAAAAAACAACTCAGAAATAGAAAAAAAGCAAAAAAATAAATCTGTATATCATATTGCAAATGTCAACAAAACTACTTCATTATACTGATATAAGTTTGAACAATCTATAAAGCATTATTTTCCTGGTTAAACCCAGACCACTACGTGTGTCTGATCTTGACAGAAACATTGGGGCACTGCTGTAATACAAGTAAACTGTATTTTTTGCAGTGGCAAAAGTGAGGGAATAAAAAAGTAGTACTCCAAAAATGCACTTTAGGAAGATAAATTATGAGAGAATATATCCTGTTAAGCAGCAAACCTTAGGTTATTTTCCCTGACAAAGGAAAAAATCTACTATACATTTAACATCAAAATAGAGTAGTGATAGAACAAATGCAAGAGTCTACTTCGCAGTGGAAAACTTTCATTACTAAAGTACTGCTTTTCAAAAAAAAATACTGTTGAGTTACAAAATCCATGCTTTTATGTTGTCATACCTCACAACAACAGAATCTTTAGGCATGTAATCAGCTTTCCAATGACAAGAACTAATAACTACCTATGCCAGCCAATACATTTCCCAACCTCTAAACTTTGAATCTTCCATGACTGTAGCAACTGTTGCATTTAACATTGCAAGAGTTAGAAATTAATAATGCACATAAATAAAATTTCAATTTTACTAAAATATACCACATTAACTTGTCACGTAAGAGAGGACTGTGATAGTGCTGCATTTACCAAATAGTGGCAAAATTCATGAACAGGAGCTGCAGCGGTATGCAGTAGATAAAGCATGACTAAGAATTATTGAGTAAGGGTGCTAAATAAGTTCTCAGAAACATAAAGCCTGGAACGGTTACTAGATGCTTCCACTATTAAGAAACAGTGGATGTCTGCTGCCTCCATTATTACATCAGTCCAAAATTTTAAAGGAAGAAAACACTAGAAGTAGACTATTCAAGAGATCTCCTAGGTTCAGGATTAATCCAACCACTGTACAAGTATATAACACATTCTTTCTATTGACAACTTATTCTTCCATGCCAATTGAGATAATAATTCCACTTAAGTTTCTTCACATCAGAAGCTCAAAAATATATTAGTTCTGATTTTATACAGCATAGAAAAGCTAGAGTGGGTACCCAGAATATGATCTACAGGAAGTAGAAAGTAAATTATTATGAAATGGTAAAAGATTGAAAGGTTTAACCAGAAAAATAAAATCCTCAGATTTTGAAGTATTCTAAATGTTCAAATGGCATTTTGACAATTTTATTTTACTATCTCTATTTAGAAGAAACTATTTCCTGAAAACAAGCACAGGATATTTCAACATCAGGCATGATACTTTCAGAAAGTTAAAAAGCTAAAAGGTAAGGCTTAGAAAGAAATGCCTCTTCTGCCACAGATGTAGTACCATGACACAATGTAATCTGCATTTTTAGTGCGATACCTGAAGGCACTACACCAAGAACATTTAGACTCTTTATGGAACGCTTACTGTAGACAAAATAAGCATTTTATGAAACTATAAAGTACATTATATCTTTACCTGTCAAGTTGAAGTTTGGTGCAACCGTGCTGTCAGCTAAAGTAAACCATATTAATCCAAGACTCATACACAGGGCAGCAGAAACATCTGCAATATTATAACGTTTTCCTACAAAAGCAATACAAACAACATGAATAAGACTGTAATACTCTTAGTATTTTGGATTTACCGCAGGCTAGAACCTAGACTCAGAGGAAAAAACTGTTTCAATGTCATTCTTCTATTAAAGGACATGGCCTAAAGTCCTGACCTTTCATGGTCAGGATCCCTCCCCTCTACAGCAACAGTTCCTAACAAGAAAGGCCGCCTTTGCAGATGCGATCTGATTTTTGTGCCCAATTTTACTTATATTCATGAAGTACATACTCCCTCACAAATCACCATCTCAACAACCTCAGGACAGCTTGGATACTTTCTGAAGTCCACTTTCTCATGTAAGACATTGCAGCTGCCCTAGTGATCATAGGGAGAAACTGTTCCTAAGCAGTTAGCCGTCTAGTTGGAAATCTGCACGTTTAGAACCCTACATTGTTTTTCAGTTTGGGGCAAACAGGATGAGAGGGGGGAAGGAATAAGAAAAGGAGAATAGAAAGACAGGAACTGGTATGCCTTGTTCTTAATAACCTATTATTTTTACTCAGAAGTCATGGCTTCCATATAAGTTTCTAAGGAAATTTTTCCAGTATGGAAAATTGTGACTGAAAAATATTCACAGCTTCTGAGACTATTATATGTGCATAATTTACACACACAATAGTATATATAGTACACATCATATATACTATATTCTCAGAAAAGTATATATATCTATATAAAGTCTGTATGTAGACACACACACATTGTACACATTAGAGTTTTAAAAAGTTTTCAGAGACTAATCTTCCCTTAATTCAAATGATATACCATGACTCTTACTAAACAATTAAGGGTGTATGAGTGTGCATGTGTACATAAGCATGCAAAGTTGTATGGTTGACAAGGCTGGATGAGATTTTTCTTTAAATGCATTTAGGGGTCCAGACAGAGTTCTCAGGAAGTTCAGGCTTCTATTGTGAAGAGAAAGCCAGAACTAACTACAAAAGAAATGAACAATTTTGAATTCTGCTCCCTAACACTTTCATATGCAAAGTTTTATTGACTTAATGAATCCTGACTTACCATAGAACGGAAAACTGAATACTATGCTTAAAACTTACTATAGCACAGGTACAGGAGTATGTTTATTTACGTAATTACAGTATTTTCTGTTGTTTTCCAGATCCCTTTTTTTATTACTAGACTATGAACAACAACTTTAGGATGAGGCATACAGCATTTGTGTACCCAGAATTAAAATCAGATGTATTTCTTAGTAAACATTTGTATGGAAAAAATAAAAAGGGGCGGGGGGGGAGGAGGAAGGTGGGAAGGCAGGAGGAGAGGCAAGCTTTTTAAACAAAATGCATGGGGGATTTCTTCAAAAATTATGCCTGCATTTTTTTTAATTTCTAAGTTTTTCATCAAAAATGGTTCATTTGTTTTTTAAACCCAGTTGTTTCACAAAGTGACTTAAAAATAAGAAGGCCTGCTTAAAAAAGAACTTTTCTGACTGACCTATACCATTTCCCTGCCCCATCTTCTGTTCTGTTTAATCTATATGTTTTTTGAGATGTTCTTTCAGAAATTCATGGGTTTTGGCAGGTAGTAAAAACACTATCTTTTCCTCTGCAAGCAAGAATTGCAATAAAACTTAAAGAAATACAAGATTCCACACATGATCGCCTCCCAAACAACAAAAAATACTTATCAGCAAAATGAACGCTTACCTTGTATAAAAACCCCGCCTATCATAACTGGAATCAGTTTACAGCACTTGAAGATGACTTGAGTAGGGTAATTCAGATATCCTAACGAGGTATTTGACAAACCCATAGTTCCCACTGTTAAAAAGGCTATTATCATGTAGGTTTTCCCAGGAATTCTACAAAATATAAACATAAATCTTGGTATTACAGACATATTGCAATTCTAAAAGGGATTTAGCTTGGACAATCTGGATAAAAGAATAACTTCGTAACAGATCTTGGGCATTTTTCTCATTGATTCTCACCCCATAATAGAAACTTAAAAATGAACAAAAATAAGCACTTTCAAATTTAATTTAATTACCACTAATAATTTACATTCAAATATAGACACTATAAAAACTCGGGAAGTATTCAAGCGATAATTTCTTTATTTCCTTCTGAGGATGTATATCACTTACGAAAGAATCAATACATAAATTTTAAGTTATTTGGCAAAGGAGACACAGTAGGTTCATATACCTACAAATCCTCCCTGTCACGGTCTCTGGATCAATTTTTTCGCAATGTTTTCACAAAGCCAATGACATTTTTAGAGTGGAGAAAATGGAAACATGTACAATTATACAAGTAAAAAAATGAAAGATAAGTGACTTAAGTATCACCAAATAGCAGCCTGCCACTCAAAGCCAAATTAAGCAGCATGAGATGTCTTGCTGTAAAACACTGTCTTACCCATAATTCAGTCTGTAACATAGGCATATTCTGAGGTATGTTAGCAAAATAACTGTATAAGAAGACTTAAGAAGGACAGAATTTACTATAAAAAGTAGGAAATAAATTTTTAACATCTGTAAGAGGACGTACAGATTACAGAAAACAAAATGTTAAAAATATTAAGATTTACCTTTACCTTACAACATGCAGGGCTACATTCCATAAACTGAACTGTTTTTATAAACAAAATGTGAATACTAATTATAGAAAGCTAGACAGGCAAAAAAAATGTATTATCTAAAGCATTTGAAGGATCTCAAAACATAAGATGACGGTGTTTAAAACACAAATTATATTTCTTTCAAAGTTACATTGCTTGGCTATAAAACAATTATACAACCTAAAAATCAGTATATAAAACATCATGCAAGGATAACTACAGGTAAGGAAGACTGGATATGCTCAACTAAGAAAATACCCTTTAAATGCACTTTTTAAATTTACAAATTTAAAAGGCTCATGGCAGCCTCCGTCCAAGCTAAAAACAAACAAACAAACAACCCAAACAAACAAAAAAACAAACAAACAAACAACAAAAAAAAACACCAGTTTGCAGGGACTGCAGTTTGAGAGGAAACCATAAGAATGGCCACAGGGCCACAGTGAGTCAGATAAGACTACCTCATTTCCACAGGATTCAAGACTGAAAGAATCTCCTTGTTTAAGTACAGTGAAGACTAGTTTTATGGCAGAGGGTTTCAAGTAGAATTTGAAATAAAAAATATAAAGCAAGAAAGTTCCTTTGATGAAAGCTTAAATGATCACATCAAACATTCAGCAGACCTGTGATGCTCTAAGATACATAGTTTTTGAGGAATGTACTGCTAAGGAGGTACAGAGCTCTAAGGAAAGCGTATTACATGAGAGATGGCTGGAAGTGCCACGAAGTGCAGTCTGCTTGTTCTGGACACAACCACCCATGGCAGCACACACATGAGTTAGTCTGTATCAGATAGCTTGGGGAAACAAACGGCTCCCTGAGCAGGTCAACATGACAATACAGGCTTCAAATCTAAGCAGGTGCATTATCTGGTTACGTGTATGTTCTGCCAAGCCAGATATATATGTATACACACATATATAGAATGTTCTCCCTATTACAGAGGAGTTGTATTTTAGAAGTTGCAGGATGTATGCTGTAAATAATCCTACTTTAGATAAAATCCAAGTAGTGAAACAAACAGGTTCACATCTTGGAAGCTGTTTATTAATATAAGAGCCTTAACTTAATAGCATCCTAGTTCAGAGCCTAAGCTCTATTACTGATCATAGTAATGCTTTGACATATTTATTCTCACAGTGTATCCAAAAGGGCATCTTACCTTACACATGTAAAGAAAATAACAATAATAGCTAAATGGTTTTGACAGATACTAAAAGATATGTATGTAAAAACAGAATCACAGAATGCTGAGGGTTGGAAGGGACAAAACAAAGGATTTAGACCCAGGAATTTCTAATTCACTAACTACAGCATGTCAGACATGACAGAAAATGAAGGGAACTCATAGTTGAAGATACATGCTCCTGTTTACTTTTACTAATCATAAGCTTACTTATTAAATATTTTCTAACACTGTCCAATAAGTTAATTTAACTATGAAACTGCTACCACAGCCTCACAATATTCACAGTCAAACAAAAGATGTTAAAAATATTATACATACCTTCTCCTTTTGTCCTGAATCAACTGCAATTCTATTAGTCCAAATATGGAATAAAATCCAAACTGCACTAAAGTAAGGTACCAACCAAACGGTTTAAAGCCTTCCACTGAAAATATCAGTTCCTATTAAAAAAAAAAAAAAATACAGTGAGGTCATACAAACAGTAAATGAAAACAAATCAAGAGATTTATTTTTTTCTTCAGATACATGCAAAACTATTATTTGCAGCTATTAATTATATTAATTATTAACTAGAATTCATCTGCCATATATTTTTCAGTACTTGCAAAGTACTGAAAAAGACAATTTAGTTTCTGCAAAACATGAGAAACGTTATTTCTGGTATAACTCATGAAATTAATGGACTGATTCCTCAAGTGAATACATTTGATCCATGAATATTCACTCCAAATTATGGATGGATTCCTGTCTGCATTTCACTTGAATTTCTATTCATTTACTCAGACTTTGTTTTTAGTCAGAATTTATAAATAGCTTGCAATAAATTAAATACAAACTTTCTATAAAAGACAAATTTACCAGTAGACAAGTTTGCTGTTCTTTTGTTTCTTAGGAACATGAACTTCATATTTTGACTGTCTACATTAAATAGCATTTGTGAGCTTGTAAATAGGCATGCTGTATAGATATCTAGAACCAGAGTGAATTTTTACAGAAAAATATACACAGTACATAAGGAATTATGCAGCCAATTACCTGCAGAGATGACAGTAGAGCCTACACTTAAAAAACCCAACTGCCTAAGTATTTTCCTTTTTAAGATTCTGCTTTCAATTACTGGCAACTGTTGAATCTAATTGTTCAGATTTTTTTTTTTCATTTTAACAAGCTTCTCAGATGTTTCCGAAAAAAGCATGAGAAAAAATAAGATTTTTTGACAATCTTTGAAAATATTCAGCTGAACTTCAGAAGAGAAACCAGAAATGCAACTGGTCAAGATAAGAGAAAATACAGTTAGCAGAAATAGAAAGCTCACAGAAATGCTTAAACTGCTATAAAACTTACGATTTGTCTGAACACTACTCTTCTGCTTAACAAACAACCACAGCACATACTTCAGTCTTCTCAAGAATTAAGAGCAGAGAGAACAATGAACTATTACCATTTTAATGGGCATACTGAACTAATCTGAACTGATCACACTTACTGTCAATGATCTAAAAGTTTCAACTTCAATAAGGACTTACATGGTAGTCACTGTGACTCTAAAGCTCATTTGTTTTTAGTAAAAACAATAAGTCATGCACATAGAAGTTAAACAGTTAACAAACTCCAACTGTATCAAAACTTGTGGGCAAAGAGAAAAATCATACATTATATACCTATTACTCTTAACTCCTACCTTGACTTTGCAATTCGTATTTGCTTTAAATGTCTTTGGATATTAAATTAGCTGCTATAATATTATGCTATTAAAAAGAGAAGGAACATAGTGTAAGTGGCATAAGACATAGGTTCATGGCATTTACCTGTAAATATCCATAGACTAGATAAAACATAAAAACTCCAGAAACACAGATGAAAAACTGAGTAGGTTTGTTAAATTTGCTGAGATTCATGCCAAGAACTACAACATCATCTACTGATTTAATATGAGGCGACATAGCCTGAGATTTGGAAGGTACACTGATGGAAATGTATTTTCTTGACGAATTAAACTTAAGATCCATGATTCCTCGGTTGCTGCATTCGGTATTTCTGTTATCTTCTTTTTGTTCTTCTCCCTCGTTTGTTCTCCTTGTTTCTGTCTGAAAGATGGGAGAAATGCTAAAGTCAGATGAGATTTAACATATGACCTTCCAAAAATGACAGGAAACAAGCATGGAGTTTATATAAAAATGTAAAGTTTCAACGGTTTCACTGGTTTGATGAGTTTTTTGGTTTTTGGGTTTTTTTTTTTGGTTGTCCAAAGTTAAAGGCCTTTCTTCTGTTCTAACATTCTTACTTCCATTCATGTGGGAACAATTCCTATACTCAAAGAAGAGAAGGGAGGGAAAAAAAAAAAAAAGGCAGCAGCAACAGAAAAACAGACTCTGTTTCAGCCTCTAACTGATTAAGAGGAGTGACTACTCGGGATATGACTGATTCCATGCTCAACCATAATGAAAGTATAGTATGGTATGCAGGCACTGTAGTTCTATCTAGTTTAGTTCATTTTCACAGTAGGGTGTACCAAAAGTAGCCTAACATATATGAAAATGCTAACAAAAAGATTAAAAGGACAGTTGTGGAAAAAGTGTGGTTACCTAGTGATATATACAGTATGGCAGTACCTTTAATATTAACCACATGGAGCCATTTCTATATGTAACGTAAAACAAAACTGGTGACTGAAGCCGAGTGAAAAAAAAAATAGCAGTTCACTAGATTGGCAGGCAAATAACTTTTTTCTCCAGTTGAGTGGAGAGCACGATATTTGAGGCAGTGGTTTCCCCTCCCTGCCCCTTCCATTTCTCATTTTTCAGCCTCAGGCTACACACACTGGTCAGTCCATTCTTCCATGATCTTTAGCTGCAGGTCAGCAGCTAGTTCAGTCAGCAGTCAGTAACTAAATGTTGCCTCAACTCTTTAATGCTTTCTTTTCTCCAGCTTAAAAATACTTCTCATCCCAAAACTACAAAAATCCCTTCTCTCACAATTTTCAGATTGTAAGTGTGCTTATATAAAAGGTAAGTCATGATACATTAACCTAGGATCTCCCCTTGAAATAATTTTCCAGAAAAAGGAAATGCAGCAAGTCTAATATACACAGACATTGGTGAGTCATTGTGCAATAATAATAATAAAAAAAAAATACAAGTTTGGTCGAAAAATGAGGGATGAATATAAAGCTTGCAATGCCATTTTCTTTTCTGATACAAGTAATTATCAAGCTGGAATAAGATTCCTATTAAAGTTCAGAAAGAATAGCTTGGGGACTGTAATAACAATTTAGGACCTATGATAACAATTTCTGTTTAAATTCAGAGCTCCTCAGTTCAGAACTAAAGCAGGAGATAGAAAGTTTACCCTTGTGAATTTTTAGTTAATCGTGAAGTGAGGCAGCCATAAAAAAAATAAATAAAGAAGGCAGGGAAGGGAGAAAGGAATAAGGAATAAGTAAAAGGTTAAGCAGCCTCTTTTCAACAGAGACAGGAACGGTGGGACAGTGCACATGCTCAGTTTTCCAAGGATACAAAACCAGAAGGAGGGGCTGACAGGCCAGAAGGCTGCACTGCCATTCAAAGGGACCTCAACAGGGTGCAGAATGAGGCAGAGAGGAACCTCAGAAAGATCAACAAAAGAAAATGTGGAAAGAAAGTGCTTTGTGCATGAGAAGGTGGGGACTGATTGGCTAGGGTGCAGATACTCAGAGAAGGACACGGGTGGTCAGCTGGACAACAAGCCCACCCAAGCCAGGCCCTTTCCACGGCCCTGGGCATTCTGCACAGTGGTTGGACTAGACGATCTCTAAAGGTCCTTTCCAACCTTGACCATTCTGTGAAGTACCAGCATCACCCTACAAGGCACACATGGACTTTACATGGAATATCATTGCTGTGATCATCCTCAAAGAAAGATGACCTCAAAGCCTGGCTGCAGAAAATTGTTATCAGGATGACTTAAGGGAATAGAGTCCATTCTTGTGAAATGAAACAGGATGACAGCTTTACTTGTTTAGCCTAACAAAGAACATATGAAAAGGGGATGAGCTTACTTTTAATAAAAGCATCACAGAGGTTACTGCTAAGGTGAGAAAACAGCTCTAATTTTAAGGACAGTGGCATGAGAATGGGTTTGAACTGATCATGCACAAACTTTATTAGAAATTAACCTCTGACTTCTCATTGATCAGTGTTGCGTAACAATCCAAAAAAAAAAAAAAAAAAAGAAGAAACTACTCAATTGTTTTAAAATGAGAATTCTATAGAAATGTTTATATATAGCTGTTAAGACTGGGCTTTGTAACTGAGAAGCTCTCCTTTAGTCCTCTGTTTACAGTATTTCTCAGAACTTCCCTTTTCCCAGAAAAAAAAAAAAAAAAGATGTACTAGGTTAGCACTCTAAATTTCAAGGCCAAGATGCAAATCACTATGAAGACAGGGAAAAACATCCATTATTGACACTTTAGCTAATTCCATTTTTTCATTAGCATCTATTCAGATCTCTCTTGAGCAGTGTACGCTACCCCTGGGCAGACCTACAGTATTTCTTAAGGTGACTATTTCTCAGTAGAACCACGAGCTGCTGAGAAGTAATTTGAGCCTCATTTTTCACTTGAAAGGGAACACAGGGAAAGGGAACCCAATCACGTACGGTCACATGCTCCTCTGGAGTCTCACAATACAGGGAACTGTGCAGTGCCTACTCTCATACCTAAGTTTTCCACTTTGGCCACTGATTTAGATATTACTTAACAGCTTCATGAGTGGGACAGAGCACCAAAGCTGGATGAGAACCAGAGGGCAGGACAGAGAGTAGCAAGCAGCAGTTATTAATACAACTTTGTATTTTCAATTATTTATATTCAATATAGTTAATCAGCAACAATGTCAGGCTTTATAATCTATCTGTTTAACCTCCTGAAGATGATTAAGGCTGCCACGAAAGCACTAAGAAACAGCTCTGAAAATTACAGCTCTGAGAAATTCCTCAAGCAACTGATTCACCTGTTGAACAAAGATACTGCAAAAATCCATTTAACAAGAATTGAGTAGCTCCTAAGTCTCCCTGATTCACGTAGCATTGCAGTCCCCTTCTTTTCTCCTAGTTGGTGTAAAACAAATAGACAAAATAAACAACACATTATTTAGGTAAAAAATACTTTTTGTTCTTTTGTCCTTCACAAAAAAACAAACAAACAAAAAATATTAAGACTTTAGACAAGACTTTAATACAAAGGTAAATAATAGCTTGGAATCAATAATATGCAGAAATCACCAAATAACTAGAAAAATAAGCTTTCCTTAACTTCTGAAAGTTCACAGTTTGTAATAACCGTCATAGAAGAATATTTTAAGTAACAGATTTTTTTTTTTTTTAATCCTGAAAAGCATTATTTTAGAAACTGCCTGGGTGGAAGCAGGCCATGAAGTTCAGCTGCACAAGCTCACCGGCTCGGCTAGAAAAAGCCGCTGTCAGGAAGGTGCTGTCAGGAAGATCACTTCGACAAGCCACCCGAGGTGACAACGGACCTAAATTCCAACGCCAGCCCTAACCAGGGCTCACTTCCTGTGGAAGCCACTCCACGAGCGCCCGGGGGCTGCTCGAGGCTGCAAGGCCACAACCACCCGCCCGTGGGAGCGGAGCTTCTCCCTGGGGGCGGCTACGTGGCTCACGCCCGGCCGGGCCCGTGGCCAGCACGGAGC